GTTCACTCATATAGGGCATGGAGTCGAGATGGGGCTAAGCATTGCACCCCAACTTTGGAATCCCTTCCAGAGGCTCAACACAGAGTAGAGTCTGTCACAAAGCCTCACGCGCCCCTTCCCTTTTCATTCATGCGGATGACAAGGTGGTTCCGGTCCTCGGGGCTTCACATTCCTCTGACTTCAGGGTTCAGAAGAACATGAGCACTCAAGCCAAACTCTAGTAAAACCATTAAATTGCTTGGGAATTGGAAATGAAAACGTTCCCACAGCCACAGCCTTCTTCTTACACCAGTGTTTGACTGCTCAGTCGTTAGAAGGATCCAGCTTCCCAAGTGCTCAGATCAACCCACAAAGTGCTGTTTGAACACCTATAATATGCCCAGCATTGTGGTGGGTGCTGAGAGGAACCCAGTCAAGCATAAGGCACAGCGCCCACCCTCAAAGAGCTTAAACTCTAGTTGGGCAAACCTAAATACTATAGGGACAGAAAACAATACCCCACAATACCAGGTAGCTCAGGACTCTGCAAGGGCCAAGTAAGAAGGGGGAGTGTTCAGGCACCTTTAGCAAAAGGACTTAAAAATCCCATCTAGTTTGTTGGGGGCAAGAGATTCGGGAGGAATCAACTCACCTTCTGGTGCTGTGCTGAGCTCTGGAATCTACTGTCTAGGATCCCACCCTATCACTAATCAGCTGTGAGTAAAATGGCCTGAGGAAAGCTTACAGATGATGAGACCAAGATATTCATTCCCTGGAGTATCTCAGAGGTGGTAAATCTGGTTCTTGTGCTTATGCACGAGAAAAAGACAGAAATCTACTTGGGGGGGGAAATGTGACCTATGGACTGAATTGTTACCTTTGTGTGGCATATTCTCTGTTTCTAGGGCAGCCCAGGAGACAAAGAATGCATTTATTTTGTGGAAAGGGATAGGGAGCAGGGCAAGAAACAGAAACCAGGGGATTGCGCAATAATGGCCTTTTAAAATCCCTCCAGGAAGTTTATGTTTGAGTCCTTTGGAAGACCAAAGTACAGCTGTTCAAGAGGAGAGTTTACTGAGGGACCCCAGCCCCGACGCGGCTGTGTGCTGGATTTTTCTTGGCCATAGGCATTGTCCCAGCACCTCCAACCCCAGCCCTTGGGGCAGGTAGGTCATTCTGTCTGGACCTGGCCCTGAGCAGGCCTCAGCCTTCCCCCAGCAGAGACCACAGGCCTCAACTAGCACTGAGGTGTTCACGTAGGAGAATCAGAACAAGGACGAGAGTGAAAAGAAACAGTCTGTTGGATCGCAGCAAAGTCCAGTGATTTCTGTGTAGTATGCAAACCAGACCCGACTTGCTGTGTTGAAATCATTCCCAAAAGAAGCCCTTTCCTTGGGTAGCCAGTGAAAGGGTGATATTATGTGTATAATCTCACAAATTACACATAAAACTTTGGGTGCAGATTTATTGTACACAACGAAGACTGCTTCTCAGCCCATCTAGGTGACAGGAAAAGTGTAAATATTAACATGTGGTACTCATGTGAAGCCTTTCCGTCCTGCCCCTGGCTTCATCCTCTGCCTATTTCCCTAACGCCAGGGATGATTTGATAGGGTCTGGTTCAGAACTCTCTCTGGATGCTTACTAAAGCTTTCTGACTGACCAAGTGACCCTTTGTCTCTTCCCTTTCTTCTGTTGGAGCCTCGAGGGCGATGTCCTGAGCTTTCACCAGCAACCTCTAACCAGTCAGGTCACCAGGCACTCCCTGCTATCCGTCCCTGTGCATCCCAAATGTCCTTACCCCTGCCCTGTGTGTGCGATACATCTTTGTTCTGTGATCCTTTGGTCTTGGTTCTCTGAGTCCACCATGTCCAGAACAGTGTCAGCCTGTGGCGAGCTGAAGGCTGAAGGGAAGGCAAGCAGTGTGGTTAGTGATGAAGAACAAGGACTTTGGGGCCAGGCAGGCATGGGGGGGTGGCATCCTGCTCCTGTATCATTCACTATGTAATCTTCACGTCAGGAGCCACGATTTCTTCACTTATAAAATGAGGATCGGAATACACGTTCAGAGAGCCGTGGAAAGATTAAACAAGACTCCACACAACTCTTAAGAGTACCTGTCTTAAAATAAGTATCAGTGCACAGTGGTTATTAGGTGACAGACTTAGGGGTGCCTCAGGTGCTCTTCTGAGGGGGCCCCTTCTTCCTTGCACAATTTAAAAAATTATATTTCGGGGCGCCTGGGTGGCTCAGTCGGTTGAGCATCTGCCTTGGGCTCAGGTCATGATCCCAGGGTCCTGGGATCGAGCCCCCACATCGGGCTCCTTGCTCAGCAGGGAGTCTGCTTCTCCCTCTCCCACTCCCCCTGCTTGTGCTCTCTCTCTCTCTCTGACAAATAAATAAATAAAATCTTTAAAAAAATAGAAAATAAATAAAAAATTATTATGACCACGTTGACATAAAAATATGTCTAAGAAATATTACTGTTCTGTATGGAAAAGTTCCATTTCTCTTCTGTTTTCAAAGAAATTCAAGCATTTTTATGGGCCCCTAAGTCTACCGTGGGCCCTGGGTACCGTGCCTAACAGTGCCTAATGGGTAAGTCAGCCGTGGGTGAGAGACTTATTTCTGGAGATTCTTCCCTCTCCTGTTTCAATGTTATAACTGCTTTCTGGAAGTTGCTGGCCCCTCTGGCACTCAGGATATACACTTCTAGCTTCCCGCAGCCCGGCTACCCCAGCCACTAGAAAGGTCCAAGTGTGGAGCCACTCACTCTCCTAGTCCTGCCCCTCTCCTGCCCCAATTTAAACCCAGGTCTTCATTCCTCTGACTCAGTCTCATTTCCTGGGACTATTCTTTTTTTTTTTTTTTTTTT